GATCCCTGTGCTAAGGTGTTTTAATGATGTCTGACAGGAAAAATTGAATAAAGAAATTTTTCATCTGTGTATGTGAGTAAAGATAGAGGTATATATTTCCAGGGTAGAGGCAAACATACTCTATAATTTAAACCACTCTAAATTGTCAGATATTATCTATCTTCTCAGATTATTATATCATCTATACTGTCAGATACCTGACTTTGACACCTGCCTGCGCGTACTTTCAAAGCCTAGCATATTATCTTTAGTAGGAGCCAGGACACTCAGGTGCTGATGTCATAGGACAAAAACACCAAGGACCCAGAGGCAAAGAAGAGTGACCTATAGGAAGAGTGGCCCCAATAAATCGCATTACAGCACACAGAGAAGTGGCAGTCTTCCCTGTCACCCCTCAAAATGCTTACCTGAGAGAGATATATGCAGTGGCAGAGGCAACGAATTAACCTTTTACTTTAAAAAGTTTCCGCAGGAAAACAGCGCGGTTAGCGCCACGAGACGTGTGCTGTTTAATAGCGGCTCAGCCTCTCCGAAGAGTTAGTTATTGGAGGGATGCCACCGCTAGGTTGCTGTCCTCAGAAAGCCTGGGGAGTGGAGTCTGCGTATATTTCACTTTCTTTCCTTTTTGTGTTGTCAGCTGTTTCTTGGAAGTCTTTCTGTGCAGTTGAGTGAAAGAAAGACGAGCGGAGACAATAGGACGGGGAGACATACAGAACTATATAATCAAACACCCAGCAAAGATGCTTGTCTGTTGGGTGGAAGCTGTTGTATAGCGCTGGGGCCTTGCCTGTGGGAGATGCCTTCCCGCACCCGCATTTAAAAGGAGCTACGTATGCAGAGGTTAAACAGTGGAACCCGGAAGTGCCGTGACACAACTGACACCAGATGCCTGGGAGAGGGCAAGAAAGGGCAGAGAGCATCTGAGTTGGTTGTCATGGATCTTGGGGAGGGTCTGAAATAGGCTTTTGAATCATGGAGCCCAGAGACCGGAGGAGTATTCTAGAATAATCCAAAGCTCTCAGTTGGAAATGAAGCTGAAGGCCATAGCGAAATAGGAAGCTGGTCTTGGAGAAAAAAATTCATGCGTGGACTTCCTAAAAGACATGGTTAGAAAAAGGGGAGAAGCCAGTTTGATATATTGTCATGTGATTCTGCTCAAGAGTTTGAACTTCATAATTTAGAAATTGATGAAAGCATCTACATTTGGCATGAGTAGCTGAGAGGCAATGCTTGAAAAAAAAAAAACAAGTTGAAAGCAGGAAGCAAATTGGAGGCTGTTTGGGGTTAGAATGGTGTATACACCTGCACTGGGATAGCTGAGCAGAGAACTAATAAAGGCAGAAGACACTCGATGGAGAAGGTGGATAGGAAGAGCCTAGGTGTGTATGGCTTTTCAAGGTTGTCACAAAAATGGAGTCATGGAAAGCAAAAATGGTAGGTTTGTTAGATTTCCATCCTAGATAGGATTTCTATTGATATGATAAAACTCCATGACCAAAAAACAACTTGGGGAAGAAAGGGTTTACTTCATCTTACAGTTCATAGTCTGAGGAAGGTCAGGGCAGGAACACAAAGCAGGAACCTGGAGGCAGGAACTGGTGCAGAGGTCATGGAGGAGCACTGCTTTCTGACTGGTTCCTCCAGTCTTGCTTACAGCACTGAGAACCATCAGCCTGGGTAGCACCACCTACAGTGAGCTGGGCCCTCTCACATCCATCATTAATCAAGAGAATGAACCACAGTCTGGCCCACAGACCAGTCTGGTAGAGGCATTTTCTTTTTGTGAACTGACTCAGCTGTGTTAATTATATAAAACTAGCCAGAAGAATTACAAAAGGAAGGTGGTAAGTTTTGTTTTCGACAAGTGAAATCTGAGATGAGGCTGGTCCTCAGGGTAATGTCACTGAAAATGTTTGAAGTCACAGGATGGAACTAAGAGAGCCAAGCTCTACCTGAGAAGCTATTGTATTAATCAGGGCAGTAAATGAGCGTGACAAATCCATCAGAAGGGCTGAAGCCAGTTATCCAAAATAACGGCTGTGTAGCTGGAGCATGCCATTTTATTTTATTTATTTTATGTTTATGTTTATCTGTTGGCATTTACATGTAGATGTGGGGTCTGAGGACAATGCCAATTCCCTGGAAGCTGGAACTAGAAGCGGTTGTGAGTTAGTCAATGTGACTGGCAGGAGCTACGCTTGCGTTCTCCACCAGAGCAGAAAGCGCTCCCAGCCATTGTGCCATCTCTTCAGCATCCCACTATTATACTATTTTAGATCGAATTTAAGAAGCTTTGAGTTCTAGCTGCTTGATTGCAATGCAAATACCTTTACGGTGCTTAAGGATAGATAAGAGAAAGGGGCAGTACACTGCGGTGCTGTGGACATAGACTCACATTCCTTGGTACAGCATTGCTCATGTTCAGACATGTTGGATTTTCTGATGGCAGGCCGGTTATCTGTTCATCTACCTACCTTTGAAGTTATTTAAGTGGCACTTAATTGTATTGTCATTGATTTCTCATTTCTTCCCTTTTGAGATAAGTTATCTCTTGTAATTTTTCATTCTTCAGCTCTTAGCTTATATTACCTTTATTAGATTTTTTTTGAGAAATGCAGGGTTTTTTTTTTAATGAATAGAATTGGGCCAGAGAAGAAATCAATTAGAAAACAGTCCAAGGGAGAAAAAAGTCCCTTTACCTGTTAGTGCCATATGTAGAACAAGGCTTCCAATTTAAGTTCTCACAGACAAGAGATAGGACTCGAGGGTTCCTGACACCACGTGTTTTGTCATTAGTGATTAGTTATGGGCTGACTACTTTATTAGGAATGCCATCCTCTTCTTGTTCTGACAGAGGGTAGATACTTCATAACCTCAAGACAGTGAAAACGTGGGGCTGGGGAGATGGCTCGGTGGGTAAGAGACTTGCACAAGGACTTGAGGATCCCCAGCACTTACCTAAAAGACTGTGTCTCCAGCCACACATAAGTCTGCAAACCTGATTCTATCAGGAACAGAGACAGAAGGACTGATGGTCTTTGCTAGTTGACTGTACCTTAGTCCCAGGCTCAATGAGAGACCCTATCTCAGGGGGGGTAATAACAGGTGGAGAGTGATAGACCAGGACAAAACTCTGTCTTCTGTATGCATGCATACCCGTACATCGTCGCACACCAGAGAGAGAAAGATACAGAGACAGAGAGACGGAGAGAGACTGAGAGATGGAGAGAGAGAAAATTCTCATTTCTATTATATATATAGTGGTAAATGAACTTCTCATATTATAAAATTAGCCATGATGACATGTAGCAGTGTATTTTAGTGTATTTTTATTTTTTAACTGAACAAGCGGGTGAAATAGAAAAAATGTGAGGCCTTTCACAACAAAAGAAAGTCAGAAAAGGTCCTTCCATATATGAGGTCTTTGCAGTCATTGATTTCAAGAACAACTAAATTCCTTACTATTCCTCTGCTCGTTTGCTTGCCTGAAGTCTGATAATGTTCTTAGCAGGTCCCCACTGCTGTTAGGAGATAACAGTACTGACTTGAGCATTAGGCAACTCCCTGAAGAGGTAGATGGAAAGACAGACTATCTCATCCCAGTCTACTCAGGCCATTTTTATCACATCTTTGATGATAATGTCTTAGGTTAGGTCTAGGTACAGGTAACAGAAAATCAAAAACTATTGGCTTAATCCGGAAAGTCAGTTTGTTTCTCTATTCTATAAAAACATAGGACTAGTTCAGAGCTAGCCAAAAGGATCTGTGTTCCTTAAAATCTTAGTCATTCAGGTTCCTTTGAGCTCATTCTCTGTCATTCTCAAGGTAATATTTTCCCTTCTTATGGACCAATATGGCAACTTTCACATACCAGAATTCAAGACAGAATAAAGGGCTAAGAGGAAAGCTCCACGTTGCTGCTTCCTGAAAATTTTGCTTTAATAGCTTTGGTCAGGAGCTCCCCATAGAGTTTTACCAATATGTGAGGGAGTGGGGGAAATGAACTCTTCCTGCTGGTTGAGCATGGTTGAGTCCAACCATCTCCTAGATGGATGAAAGGGAGAATAAATGCTGGGGTAAAGTTTATAACCCAGGTCTTTCTCGCTCATTGTCACGGCACCATGGAATCAGCAGGTTAAATGGTAGAGGTATGTGAGCGGAAAAGGACTGTATAGTTGCAGTTAAGAATTAGGACCACAAAGCTGTATGTGCAAAAGAAAGAGAGCATCAATACTTCCTCCCAGTTACCATAATGACTTAAATCATTGATATACTTAATTCATTGAACAATGGTAACTAATACTTCAGAACCACTTGATAAGGAATATGATAAACTCTTATTGATGCCATACAGTGAGCAAAAAGAAATGAGTGCACAATTTCCAGTATCTTTGTTATACCCCTCTACAGCTTGATTTTCCAGGATAAGATTCAGAATGGCTTTCATTTCCAATTGTATTTTTCTCTATTGAAAATTAGCTGTGATATGCATGTTTTATTGGGGGGTAAGGGTGAGTGTTAACAAATTGTCTGAATTTAACTTAACAAATGTTTTTGATTTTCCGTAATTTCTTTATGTGTCATTGACATAACCCTAGAAGCTCTGTACTCCCTTTGTGAGCTCTTACTTGTTCATATTGTCTTTGATTGGGAACATATTTATATCAATAAACTTCCCTTCCTGTTATTGTAACAAGTGGGAATCCGGCCATCTTTGGATGGATGGGGCTTGGGTAGCAACATGGGTTGAGTTTGCTGTTTGCCTATAAAATGATAGACAGCTCTGAATTGCAGAACTGATGTCAATCAAAGTGTAAAAGTCTGGCATGTTTCTCATTTAGAAATGGTGACAGGAGAACAGTGGGTAAGAAACACAGCTTGGTATTCCGACTTGGATGTGACAATTTGCTTGTGATTAGAAACAACAAAGTCATTGTATTGAGAGATTTTTGTGCCAACTCTTAAATGCTCTTTTGCTTCTTTTTCTTTCCCTCTCTAAGCCCCTCCTCTGTTCTGTGGCTTTTCTTTTGTAACTCCTCCAGACTACAGCTTTGTTCCCCCTTCTTCCACTCCTTTCTGGTCAGGTACTGCTTTCTGCTTTTATATGTCTCTACAGCTCGCTTCTGTGTGCACATACAATGTTTTGGCTTCTGTGTATGGCTTGCCATGTAAATCCATCTCCTCAAACACAGTTCCTAGAGTTCCATTACCACCATGTACCTCACTGTTCCCTGCCATAGAGTCATTGTTTGCCATGACATTCCGTGTGTGTGTGTGTGTGTGTGTGTTTGTGTGTGTGTTAGCCATCAGTTTTAATATGACATTTTATATTTCATCATGTGTCAGTGCAGAGAGGTTGGAAATGGGTCAGGGGATGGAAATTTAGAAGGAGATGAAGGATTCTGAAAAAGCATTCATCTTTTCTGAGGACTAGAAATCATATGGAGAAAAATCAGTATTTTTGCATTTCCATGAAGAAAATAAAAAGGGCCCCAAATCTCAACTTCTCCTCCAAATAGAAGAATAAGATTCAGCATGCATTTCTTAAAACGATGACCCTTGTCCACCATTTCTATAGCTCTTCGCCTGGTGTCCAGGAGTTTTGATCTGAATTTCTGTCGTTACCTGGAGAGTTAAATGCCTATTTATATGGCACCGAGGCTAGAGAAAGTACGTTTTCTTGTGGGTTTTTTAAAAATTAACCTGTAAGTCCCAGTAGAACATAGAATTCTGAAATAGACCTTAGAAGTCAGCTAGTACAAACCTTTCATTTTATAGATGAGAAAAATGTGGCCTAGAGGGGTTGAGAGGCCTGTGCAAGGTCACACCGCTAAGTCTACAATTGGGCTTCTCCATCACAGGGGTGTTTTTATGTGCACCGACTTTAAGAACAGTGCCTTGGCATTGGGACCATTTTCAGTAAGGAAGCCATTAAAGTGGCTTGTGTCCTGAATGGTAAAATAAAATGACCTATTTTTTTACTCCCTTTACAGTTCTGAAATCTACAGTATTTCCTTTCGTTTATCTTATGATGGACACCTGGAGACTTAAAAAAAAAAAAGGCTGTCGTTATAAAGCCATGAATGATAGGCCTGAGGTTCCCATTGCCAAGTGGATGGACTGTTCCAGGGTAGCATGGGTCATTACGAGCTACCTGAGCCCTGGGAACAGTTATAATACAGATGGATGGTGTTTCCATTGGTTGCTTTTCCTTACACTTAAGTTCCTTTACCATTTAAGATTTATAAAGTCCCACCAATCTCCGGTGAGCGATTTTCAGAATCACTGCACATATAATTGAAAACACTTTATGACCCTTGCAGAGCAACAGGTGGGAAAGTTACTACAAAGCCTGTTACGAAGCGCCAGAGACCAACAAAGGCACACAGCCTGAATGGAGTTTCCCTTTCGGACAGGGCTGACACCTCTCCTGCCACCAGGGATATTAAAATATATATATAAAGGAAGCTGAACACAGGCAATGGTACCTTTCTGCCTGGATTTTGATTAGATATTGCAGCAAACATCGCCTGCAAGTCAGTGTTTCCGTGGAGAGGGTTTTGTGTTCTCTCAGTGAAAACTGTTGCACGTCTTCACATATACGGAAACTGTATATGAAGCAATAATTGAGTTCATCCCTAGATGGTTTAAACATAAAAGGCTTGGCTTGAAGGGATACCACTTACTTAGAAGTGATGATGCTGACTTGACAGACCTTCATCAGAGCCCAGAGTTCAGTTGCTCTGAGCTTAGCCAAAGAAGTCACCAGGTGAAAACAGCAAAAGCTTCACCCAGAGCTTCTAATGGAAAACAGGATACAGTGCAGTCAGTTGCAAGCTTATGTTAACGCTATCTCGAATGTCTTCGCATCGTCATTGAAGCTATTAGCTAGGTTGACTTCGCTTTTACAAAAAGCTTTTATTAAAAGTGTCCAGAGCAGAACGATGGTTATTTAACCGTCTGGAATGAACTTGATCGGGTCTGGTTGGCTTGAAACGGCAACTGTGCTGCTTTCAAACTCCGCTGTCATCATCACTGACCTGTAGCGAGGTCACGGCTCTGCACCAACAGCCATGCTCTGACTGGGTTCTGGTGGCTGGCTGCGACCAACCGCACACTGACTCAGACTCCACGTTGTTTCTTCCCAGTGCTAAGTCCCAAAGTCCTGGGCATTGCCATCGCTCGCTATGACTTCTGCGCAAGAGACATGCGGGAACTCTCCTTATTGAAGGGGGACGTGGTGAAGATTTACACAAAGATGAGTGCGAACGGCTGGTGGAGAGGAGAAGTAAATGGCAGGGTGAGTCGTCTCATGAGAGCGTTGGTTCTTCCTGGGTGCCAAGACCAGCAGCCATTGGCAGCTATCATGTGGTAGACTTCTCTTCTCGAGAGCCTAGCTGCATTGCCGTTTAAAATGGGTTGGGTCGACAATGTATGGGCCGAGAGTTGATTGGCAAATGGGATGAGTTGAGGAACATTTCAGGGTTTGTCATAAGCCAAGTGCCAGTGCATGTCATTATATAGAGCCCCAAGCATTTCTAAAAGCCCCTGCTCCCACTTGGTAAGGATGGGATAGAGTACCTCTGTCCATAGATTGTCCTATAACAGAGGTGGGACTCATGGTGTTGAGACCCATATTGCCCTAATGTGTGTATTTGTTTGTGTGATAGTGAATTAGAATCCTGTTTAGGCTTATTTTATTCCTTAGCTGCTATCACTGTCTTCTGTGATGCCTTTTCTAGCTGTTAAGCCCATCTTCCTCATCTACAGTGGGCATAAAACCCCAGCTTAATTAGAGTGTTAGGAAAATGAGAAATATCGTCTGTAGAATCATCTGAAGCCGCCCGGCGGTGTTGACATGTTGGCCGTTTGTCTTTGCAGGTGGGCTGGTTTCCATCCACGTACGTGGAAGAGGACGAGTGAAAGGCCAGTCAGAGTTGCACCCTGCACCAGCATCTCACAGAAGAGATCAACAGAAGCCTGCACTGCATTATGAGTTCAGTGGAGTGTTTAGAAAACAGCATTTCTGGCTGTTCAACACTTCCCTCCTCCTCTTTCTTCTTCTTCTTTTTTTCTCCTAAGTCTTAATGCTGGGATATCTAAAGATGCTGGTCCTGACAGATTAATGGCTTGCCTAGAGCACAGCAAGACGCAGCCTGCCAGTCTGTCATTGTCGGGGACCGGGGCAAAACCCAAAAGCTTTCCTTTCCCCGAAGAGCCCTGCCAACGCATCAGATCAGGGTTCTCTTACTTCACTGGGTCAGGCACCGTGGATGCCAGCCATTAGGAAACATTTCATGCATATGTACTTTGGTCTTATAGCGTTTGATGATACAAAGAAGCAGAAGTTTAATTTTGCTTTTTCCCCCGGCATGAAGAAAAAGCCGAGTTCTGCCATCTGGGAAAGATCCAGCATTTCTTGTCTTAAATTGTTCAACAGGTGACTCATTGCCTGACAAACACTTTTATCCCCAGATGTTACTCACGATCAAATGAAAGCATCGCATGCTCAGGTTTGCATCGTAAGTGATAAATTACAGAGAGGGGTTTAATTATTCATTTGATGTCCTGATTGTATTTCCACACTTCTTTATAAAGAAGAAAAAGGAAAGCACATGAAAGGAAGTGTCTTTGTGTTAGAGCCTCACAACTTTCCTGATCTCGTAGGGTGTTTTGGAGATGTCACGTTTGACAAAGGGATCTTGGCTGGGCAGATCCTGCTTAGTTGCTGGGAAGCCCAGTGAGGGAGAGGTGTTTACAGAGACAGATCAAGGGCTGTCACCCATAGGACGTCATTGTATAGCAGCAATACTATCAGCACAAATCTTTTCTTCCTACCCCCTCACCCCTGAAAATATCCAGGGCATATTTGCTGATTTCCATTCTTTTTTTTTTTTAAATAGTAGCACAAAAAAGCTTTATTGAGGACTTGGGAAGGAAAGTACATTGTTTCTGAGACAGAAGGAAAGGTACCAGGGTTCTGGCACCTCTGTTTCCCCTTCTGAAGCTATTCTAGCTATGTCTTAATCAGTAGTAAGATCCATTTTGCAGTGTATTTCTTTCACCAAGCCTTCACTGTGTTCTGTAAGGAGTCTAAACATCTTCATCCTGAGAAGTATGGAGTCCCTAGTTGAGACAGCCTTCCATGGTGAACTATTCCTTTCATAGAAGTAGCTGTGTTCTGATGAGACTCAGAAAGTGTTTCCGCTTGGAGGAAAAATAGAGGTATTTTTATCTTAGCTGTGATCTAGAAGCTTCTTGTACCAGATGTTTTTGGTCACCTCTGACATAAGAGGGCTGTGACAGCCTGTTCTCTCCCAGCATGAGTGCCGGAACTTGTTCCATGGACACATCTCCCTCCAAGAGACCCCTGGAGGCTAGGACTTCTCATTTAAATAGACTCAAGACCTTTACCTCAGAGTTATGTAAACTGTGATTGTGTTTTAGAACAACTAAGCCTTTGTATATGTGTAAATGATCATGAAAATGTATTTCATAAAATGTATGTACAGTCAACTTGTGCTGGCAAGGTCTACAGTTGGACTAGATTCTTACCCAGAAAGTCTTATCTGTGTCTCGGGGATGTTTGGTCTGTTACTGTCAGCAAGTGTTGCTATGGAGAGGAGAGCTCCCCACAGATTGAAACGCTCCTGTGTACAGTATTGTAGCATGTATTGTTTATTTTAGTCAATAGACTCCCTGCCTCGTGAGTGGTATGTGGTCTTCCTGTTGCATTTCATTGGCCCCAGTGTTTCATAGCAAAGGACAGGAGAGCCTCTTTCCACGACATTACCAATGACAACTTTGTCTACGTTTAGTTCTTTGTATTGGGAATTTTAAATGCTACCATCTATGTAGATTTCTAATACCAAAGACAGACATAAATGTTTTCCACGGACTTTGTCTTGCCTGTCTGTAGCCCTTGTGTAATATGGTGGGTTGGAATGGTATGTTACTTTGTAATATTTTGTAAATATGTCAATAAAATAGTTACTACTTGCATTAAGAGGAATTTTCTCTTTTTATTTTTTTGTATATGTGTGCACATATGTGTGTCCATGTGTGTGTATGGGTATATGTGTGCATATGTCTAGTGCCAAGTTCTTCTACAGTCTATGCAAATAATCTACAATTTTTTGAGGGTTGAAGATTCGTTTTTCTGAATGGTCCTATAGCACATACCATAGCTCATCATTATCAAAGGAGAAATTACCCTGACTTGGGTGTGGTTAACTCAGGATTGCTATCACACACAACTATGGACAGAAAACCATAAGATAAACTCAGTATCTGCTGGACCCATCTATCTCATATGCTAGTGAGATGCTACATGGTATTCTAAAGCCCTTATTTTCAGTGAAAACTACCTCATTAGCTCACAGGTGAGGAAACTGAGGCATAGTAATAGGTTACAACATTCCAGAGGTCACAAGGCTAGGAAGCATGTGACAAGACATGGGCCATCTGACTGTGGTCAGTATAACCACGGCACCATCCTGCTATACTTTATAAGAAAAGAGAAAAGTTAGGAGTGTTTGGAAGCTTGCAGTTCCAAGAACAAGCTATTTGGTACTAAACAGTGATCTAGATAGTTGAAAATAAGTACAGAATTCCAAATCATTCTGCTCCTCCTAGTCCCTGAAACTCCATCTGATGCAGAGACAAGTTTGGCCATCGTCATTATCACTGTCATTATCAAGTAAACAATTAGGTAGTTGCTATATTAACTTTTTAATTCTTTAAACACAATTGAGGCTCATTTATTAGATTGAAGTGGAAAGTTTATATGGGCTACATGAATCCCTCTATAAAAAGAGTCGAATAAATTGGTGTCCGGAAGACAGAAATTTTATACCAACCTAGGTTCAAACCCTAGCTCAGCCACTGACTCTCCAGAACAGATGTTTGTTTCTTCATTTATGATAAATAATAGTTAAAATGAGCTGAAGAAGAGACATTATATGAAAAATGCTATTTGTATAGACCCCAGTGCGTAGTAAATATTAAAAAAAATAAAATCTTGGTTTCTAGTATAATTGCCATCAGAGAGGCTTCAAACACAACCGATAGGAGCAGATGGAGAGACCCACAGCCAAACATTAGGAAGAGCTCAGGAAATCCCGTGGAAGAGGGAGAAAGGATTATATGAGCCAGAAGGGTCAAGGGCACCACAAGAAAATGACTACAGAATCAACTAACCAGTGTTCATGTGTCTCACAGAGGATGAACCAACAACAATCAGGGAGCCTGTATGGATCTGTCCTAGGTAGGATGCCCAACAGTGTTAGGGGCTGCCTCTGACTCTTTTGCCTGCTTTGGGGACTGTTTTCCTCCTCCTGACTTGCCTTGTCCAGCCTTAATATGACTGGATGTGCCTAGTCTTACTGCGACTTGATACAATGCTGTGGTGGGTTGATGTCCCTCGCAAGCCTCCCCCTTTTTGAAGGGAAACAGAGGAGGAAGAGATCTTGGGGAGAGGGGAGGTGGAGGAAGGGACTGGGAGGAGAGGAGGGGAGAGAAAGTGCAGTAGGAATGTGTATACATTTAAGAAAAAACATCTTGATCTCACCCTTCACGAACTATAAAACACGTACTCAGATGCCAAATTATGAGCTCGCTGTCTTTATTCTGAATACAATGGAGAGTTGTAGGCTTTGTTTCTTACGCACAGCTTCATTTTCAGCATTTCAAATGATAGGCAGACTGAAAGATGTACGTCCAGGGAGATTAATATGCAAACCTATCAACAAGCTCAGAAGTGGCATTTAACAGCTCCCCATGACTTTAACAACGACGACAGAACATTCACTCAGTTCAAGCTTATTTAGACTCTTTCCATGTGTCACCTTTGTTAGCACCCGAGCTAGCTTTATGGGACTGTTTGGACTCTGATGAAAACGTGATACACCTGTCTGGTCTGGCAGACTCTGGACGGCAGATCTTCTAAGTAATGAATAAATGCCAGAACGGAGGTCAGAAACAGTCCTCTCTCTCATAAGGTGCCATGGATTAGACCAGATTTGGGGGTGGGGGTACTGTGACAGATTAAACGAAGTCCTTTTGAAGCGCTCTAGACTCTGACTTAGAAACTTCCAGAATTTCTAAGCACAGTGTGTTTGCAATTAATTTTGCAGGCATATGGCGAGATGGCAGGAACTCTCAGTGCCAAGTTAGAATGCACACGAAGTCACCTCATATCCTATCTTATGAGTCCCGAGCAAGAGAAATTCCAAAATATACCAATGTCCAAGCTGGGATCTGGTTTGTCCATGACATGACAATAAAAGCACCGTCCGAGTAAGGGCTCAGACCTGCATTTCCTGACTCCAAGTCACATAAATGCCCTCTAACGTGATCCAAGAGATTCCTGATTTTCTACTTGATTCTGCAGTTTCTCTGGCTTTTCTTCTGACTCTCACCCTGTGGAAGCTGCTGGAATCGATTCCAGCTCTTATGCAACTATACTAGAGAGTCTCGGTCATGTAAAACTCTATCAGAGTAATTTGTTTTGTTTTGAAATAGTTTGTCCATGTAACCCTGGCTGTCCCCAAACTAGCCCTGTAGACAGGTCTGGTCATGAATTTACAGAGATTCCCTTGTCTCTGTCTCCTGAGTGCTGGGATTAAAGGCATTTGCCTCCATGCCAGGCTCAGGGTGATACTTCTTGCCCTTCTTGTTGCCAGAATATGCTGATGAATTTGAATATCAGTAGACCCTAGCAAAACCCCTGAATTTGATCAAAGACAGCTTGTGGCGTTTTCTAGGGAGCCGCGTGACCTCTTCTTAGAGAGGGAAAGAGTTTGTGGACGCGGGGCTTCTGTTGTGTGTGTTATCTGATTTTTCTCACAGAATCATTCTGAGCGTTCCCAAGAGATCGGTCTACTCATGTTGGAATCCTAAGATGTCTAATTCTGGTTCAGTGACTCCTCTGACACTGGGGCTTTTTATTAAGGCTTTGGACTGTCTCATTCTTTCATATGACCCGTCTCTTCTCCTAAGATACAGCAAACGAGTGGCTAGGGATTTTAAGCTTAGACCCAGCCTAGCTATGTCTTCTACTTAACCAGCCATCTAACGTTGCAGAAGTTTCTCACATCACTCATCCTTCTGCACCTCCCATGATATAATAGCTTGACAGCAGCACCTGGCTGCAGAGGACTGGATAAGGTAATGTATGTTCAGTGTTTAGAGAATCGTCTGGCAGACAGGCAGCAGACGAAAGAGATTTTTTTTAAAAAAACAAAATTACAGTTTGGCTACTATTTTAAATATACACACAAAACCAAGTGTCACAAATTTAAGATGTTGACTTAGATAAGGAAATCAAAGTTCTCCTTGGATGTGTTTTTAGTCTTTGGAAGAAACGTCTTGAGTTAACCTCACATCAGAAATGCCTTAAAAATATGCAAGAGTAGAGGGCAAATCAGATGCTCTACTAGAGCGGGGTGCATCAGTTGTCTACTGCTGTGTAACAAATTACCCCAGAGTTCACAGCTGAGGACAGCATTCACTAGTAGCATGTCTACGGGGCAGGAGCCAGGGAGGAGGTTAACTGGTTCTTTTCAGCTAAAGATTTCCCATGAGGCTTTAATCAAGGTATCAGCCAGAGCGACAGTTACTTCCTAGCTCAGAAAGGGGACGTGTGTCCTCAAGTTCCGCTGTGTAGACTTCACAAGGCTGCCTCATGACCCGTAGTTTACTTCTCCCAAAATAAGCATCCAAGAGGGAAAATGTGAGAGCATGCCAGATCATAGCTCCTGTTCTTAAAACATCGAAGAAATGACATCCCATCACTGCCACATTGGCTTATTAAATCCAGCTCCCTTTCCAGGGACCAGATTACACAAAGACAAACACAGAGACCTAGGGATCCTTTGAGGCCTTCCTGGTGGCTGCCTGCAGCAGACAGGTGAGCAGCAATGTCTTGAAAGACGTGATTATTTTGAAAAAAAAAAAAGGAAGAAGAAAAAGTTTGTATTTTAGGTCTTAGTAAACAGCAACCTTGAGGTCTCCTTATATCTTTATTTACTGAATAACACACCCACCCAATACCAGTTTCTCCAGAGCTACAGGATGAATCCGGGTGGGGATATCTCTCCAGGAGGACTCACAGCTTTTGTTTTTTCTTACTTAGGAAATTCCCTTCCTGAGGTACAGGATGTAGGAAGAAGGAAAGTTTTCCCGCACATAAGACATGAGCTCTGTATCATATTTATGGGAACGAAAATAGAAACATTAACTGGGCATGCCCAGGAAGAGACCATTGAAAATTGAAAACTATAAATCTGGAAAATCGTGTATTCCTCCCCTTATTCATTCAGCAGACATTCTTTAGAGTACAGTTCTAGGCATCGGAACACAGCCACAACCCTGATGCAATTCCTGTATTTGCGGAGCTTATATACTTATAGATTACAAACAGGAGTAAACAGGAATAAACCAGAAAATACATAATGTGAGATACTGCTATGTATTATTATTGGAAGGGCACACACACACACACACACACACACACACACACACACACACGAGAGAGTGTTATTTGGCATAGGTGACCAAAGATGTCTCTATGAATTCCAGAATTCTGTGAATGCTTTTGTTTAAAAAAATTTAGAAACCTAACTTAAGTGATAAAAGGAAAATAATATGAATATCTGAGTGCTTAGTGTTTGGAGACCCGCGGGGCCCAGAGCAGCTGGAGAAGGTGAGAAAGACAGGAAGATAGCAGAATATGGTAGGTGCCATATTGAGGGGGTTTAAGAGAGTTGTGAATGAGGGGAACTCATTTACATTGCAGAAAACTCACAGTGGAAGTGGAGCTAGACCTGTGACATCAGTACTGCTACTCTTTCCCCAAGTTCCTGTATTCCTAGGGCCACCACAGTAGCTATAAAGTTCTAGGGGCTACAATCTGAGGCTCAGGTGTCAGCAGAACAGTGTCATTTTCCAGCTGAAGGAAGGCGCATGCGCATGAGCAGAGCCGGCACCTAGACGCTCAGTTCTAGT